AATTAGAAGGCGTGTGTGGGTGTGCACGTGTGTGTGTGTGTGTGTGAACTGTGCTGAAAAGCAAAAGGTCAGCTTCCATGTGTTGGCCATGTGCGCCTGTAAGGGCCTGGCTGATGCAGGTGTGGAAGGACATTAAAAGTTTTATGGTGATTTGCAGTTTGCTCGGCTCCTTTAGCCTACCACCCTCAGAGCCTGTTCCAGTCGCACTCAGTGCTCAGTATGTGCACCTGTGAAAATCAACACTTTTATTAGCATTGCGTTGATTGCTGCAATTAGAGGCCCAGGCCTTTAGTTTGTGTTGATTGGCGGTGCTCGGTTTAGTGTGTGTGTATGAAAAGTTCTTTTTTTTGTATTTTCTGAGAGCTCAGCGTGGCCTCTGAAAGGTTATGTTTTATGAAGAGAGCGGGGGGATGCAAACACACACCACACACAGCTTGTCAGGATGTGGGGTCATATGTTTCATGTAGGTCCATCTTTAAGTATATGTTAATATCCAGTAACTAGATGTCGTCACTGTCACGACAAAACCTTTATTTTTGGTGTTTTGTACTTCTTCGCATAAACTGGAAAGTCCAGCTGCTTTTTATTCAAGATGGACCAATAGAAATGGGCCTCTGGGCTTCATCCACCAACCGTTCTTAAGATGTCATGAATCTGACGTAGACTTTTTCTTAGGACCTGTCTCAAGAACAAGTTTTATAAAAGATTTAGGAAGACATGCTGAACGAGGCCCACTGTTGGTGTGTTTCCCCACTTAACACTTGTTTGCAGCTCTTGCAATTTGAGAACTTCACTCTATCAAAATGAAATTTCAATACAAAAACAATATTCAGCCCGACTGTACACTACTATTCAAAAGTTTGGAATCACCATAATATCGCCATGTTAATAATTGTTGTTTTTTGTATTTATTCAATGATTACTTATACAGTGTACATTGAAATACTTTAAGCTGGACACCAGAAGATATTTCAAGATGTTTTATTCAGTATTTCAAGGTTGTTGGGAACAAGAGGTTAGTAAATAATACATAACATACTGTAATTATCTATGTAGTCATTTTTTGATATTAGTTATCTGCATCGAGATTTGATCGCCTCTTTTCGAATATGAGGCGTTTAACAGGTCATCCTCAATGTTCTACAGTGTTCTCAGTCATTATGGAATCAGCTTCAGTAGGGCTGTAACACTGCATGGTGTTATCGCAATGCAAAACTGTGACAAGGTGCACTGTGGAGTTTGACAGTGCATCATAATTATGCCATTTAAAGCACCTCACACCGGTTCTCCTCCTGCCTCCCACATCTAGTGTTGTTAGTAAATTGTACAACAACATGATTACAGTCATTATTTTAATCGTGAAGCCAGTATCCCAAATCGAATCGTGTGCCGAGTGTATCGTTACACCCCTAATCTACAGCTCTGGGGCCGTATTACAGAAACGTTCCTTCTTTTTGTCTAAAGATCTGACGGGTCAAGATAAGATTTTTCACAAATTCGTATTACAGAAGCAAATCTGATCCTATTTGAGGAATCTTATTCTCAATCTAACAGCATCTTATCTCAAGTTAGGAAATCTTAACCTATGTGATGGAAGATGACAGTCAGCTGTCATGTCTGTTACCTAGCAACTGACTACTGACCACTTATCATGTACACTTTATAAGTAATTATTGAATAAATACAAACAACAACAATTATTAATATGGCAGGTGATTCCAAACTTTTGAATAGTAGTGTACAGTCGGGCTGAATATTGTTTTTATGTTGAAATTTCATTCTGATAGAGTGAAGTTATCAAATTACAAGAGCTGCAAGTGTTAAGTGGGGAAACACACCAACAGTGGGCCTCGTTCAGCATGTCTTCCTAAATTGTTTATAAAATTAGTTCTTGAGACAGGTCCTAAGAAAAAGTCTACGTCAGATTCATGACGTGTTCTTTTAAGAACAGTTGGTGGATGAAGCCCAGAGGCCCATTTCTATTGGTCGATCTGGCAATTGTGAATAAGAAGCAGCTGGACTTTTCAGTTTATGCTTATGGAGGTTTTTAAGTTTATGGAGGTTTAGTCTAGTTAGGATGTTTGTGTGATGCTGTTTTCTTATCTGGAGTTAATGATGAGATTATGAAGGTAGGAACTGTTATTCTGGAATAGCTACTGTCCTGAATTCAGTCCGTACTGAAGTCGTCATGGTGACTAAACTGATAAGATTTCGGACTTAAGAGGTTTCTGTAATACGACCCCTGATCGTCATTCTGGAAGCATCTACAATTTCTTCACTGTTTACAGTATCCTACTAATCAGTAATTAAACCTGTCATGTTACTAAGTTGCATCATAATAAAATCATTTTGTGTATGTATCATCAACAAGTTGCTTTTATATGATTGAAAACAGTGATTCCAAACTTTTTAGTTGGGATTCCGAATTTTTGAACACTAGCATGAAGTGCTAAAGTAAGTCAGCAACCACCCTTCATTTATTTAACGTCAACTCAAAACAGCCCTTGAGTACAAATTTTAGGAGATATTTCTGGGAAGATTAGATAGAAAATAATTTGCATAAAGGAGGTTAATAAGTTTAAAACAGGAGTCTAAGAAGCTGGAGTTAAAAAATTATATTAAAATATAAAAAGAGTGGATTTCTAATAACCGAGCAAGACCTAGTAGGCCATCAAACAGTCACTATAGGACAAACAGAACTTAAAGCTGTCATCTTTGATAGAAAGGAGAAAATCAAGCTGTACTCTTGTTTCAGATCTAAATAAATGCACAGCTGTTTCTGTGCATCAACATTATGGGTCTGAAAGGACGTTTATCTGTCAATAAGCCGTTACTGAGAAAAGAAAATAGACAAAACAGAAGAAAATTTGAAAATCAAAGAATCTGCTGGTGTCCTCAGGACAATGGACTGACCCCAGGGTCCAGATCTCAACATCACTGAATGTGTTTGGGATCACTTGGATTGTGACCAGAAGAAAATGCGACTTCTAAGACTGAACTTTGGAGAAGTGGAGAAACAAGTCTTCCGTTAAGGATGGAAGCTGTAATAAATGCAAAGGATGGACACACTAAACCCTGAAAAAACTGATATTACGTTTAGTTGTTGAAGCCTCTGTATAATTTTCTGTTAAATCTGCTTTCTGCTTTTTCCCCTGATGCCGAATAATGAATAACTTGTACTTAATGGTCGTTTTGACTGGAAATGAAATAAATGAACAGTCTCTGACTTCTGCACAGTACTGAATATAATCATTTTCCAATCTCAGCAACCAAAAAGAAACGCTTTTGCAATTCAGTTTTAAAAAAATAAAACATGTACATGTTGTAAAAAAAGCAATTTAACAGAGTCAGGATGAATTAGTGGGGCCTAGCATTGGTTTTCTCTGGCTTTCCTATGAAACGAGGACATTGTTAGCTATGAACAAACACTTGTGCACACATACACACACATACCATTCACTTTAGTGAATCAGGGCAGTGGTCCATCTGTGCTAAATGTGTGACAGCACTTCCCCATGTGATGTCACTTCACCTAGACAGCTCCTGGCAAAACACCACAGATACAGAGAGCAGTGGCAGTTGGACGACAATAACTTTTGAATGGAACTATAAATGCGGACCTAAAGTAGAAAACGAACAGATTGTCTTTCATTTTCAGCTCTAACTTTAAGAGCGGCTTTTTTCAAGGAAGGAAAGAAAAAAAAAAAAAGCATTTCGGCTTGAAGTTGGTGTTTGTTCTTTCTAATTACTCGATGTCCTTTTAAGTCTGAAGTAGCTTTGAAAGCTCTTTGGGAGACTGGTAAAAGTTTCCTCCATGAATAGCATGAAAAGCCTCCATTTAGCAAAAACTATGGAGAGGAGTTTGCTTTATATTGTGTTCGTTAACTAAGTATTGGACATCTGTAAATGAAATTTCAATATGCTCAAAGACCCCAACTGATTCGCTCCCCATTCCTCCCTCACAATGAATGAAACTAATTGCTTTAAATGGCAGAGCCTTGGCAAAGCAGCTCTCCTGTGGCTCCCGGCGCATAGAAACAAGAATTACCACCAACAGATGAAAATCAAAAGTAATGTGACAAAAGATTGTGTCACCTCAGTCGCAATCCTTTAATTGCACTTCCTTTGTACATGAAAGCTATTCAGACGGCACTGCTTTGGAAGAGACAGGTTTAACTCTTTTAATTCCCATATGGAAATGCTTTTTACTCCACAAGCAGAACTTTAAAACAGAGCGGTTATTTCAAACCATTGCGCTTGTGCCAAAAGTAGAACTGCACGTTCTTTGAAACGTTTTACCCCCTGGAACAGTCAAAGCAGCTTTCAAAGGGGCCCGTAAAGAGGCATGTGTTTAGATAAATAAAATGACTGTGGGACTATGTTCGAATCTAAAAAAAAACCCCATCTTTTGTTTGACGTTAGTCCTTCATCGTGTTGTTGCCAGCAGTCATTTATCAATTCTTGACATGCTAGTTATATTCTTATTGGCTGCATAAAGGCAGATGGTGGTCGCAAATTCATCAGCGGCTTAAATAAACTCAAGCATACAGAGATTTGATTCGAATCAAATCTCTAATGCGCAGGCATGCTTATTTCCGAGCCAAATCACGCTCATAATCAGATGGCAATTAGAATGATGTGTGACTCACCAAAAGCAGCGCTCCGGCCTCATCTGAAAGCCCAGACTGCGTTTCATTCGTGGCACCTGCTGCTCTTATTACCACAACAACAGTTGGAGATTTAAAGTCATTACTTTATTCCAAATAAAACCTTATTTAATTAATCTCAAAGCACGCCTTCCCCCATCCGCACTCGAAATCTGCTTTTTTATTCTGTTTTTGTTTTAAAAATGCTGTCTCCCACCACCCACCCCATAAATGCTTTCACAGCCTTTTTGGCATTTTTAAGAGAGATCCATAATTACAAATGCGGACACATGGCCCAGCCTCTTGGAGTAAACGTTCGGCTCTGGGCGCAGAAAACCAAAACAAACTCAAGTATGAACATTTAAGAATCTTTTGTTTTTAATTCACACTAGTAATAAAATTGCATTACAATTTCATAAAATAAATGTTCCAGTTTATATATACAGAAAAAACAGACTGTACAGTACCCTCCAAGGAGCCATAGTACCACCCAAAAGGGAGGAGAGAGGAATAAAAGAAAATAAAAATAAAAGTAAACTTGAAACAAACATCACAAAAAACATACAGGCAATACAGTGCTCAGCTAAAGCAGGCACAACTGTACATTGAAACTTGTAACTGCTCAGTGTTGGGAAGGGGTGGGAAGGGCCAAAAAGTAGTACATTTACAACAGAGTCCTTAGGGACCAACAGGGCTTTTACTGTAAAAAGTATTGCAGGCAAGCAGACTGACGCTCCTCTCTCTGGTCGCAGCAGAACATCCATCGTGCGTGTGCGTGAGTGTAAATGCGCGTGTATGTGTGCGTCGGAGTGTGTGGAAGTGCGTGTGTGTGGGTCGAGGGCTGCTGCTGCCTCCGCCGGGCCCGGCTATTGAACCTGCGTCTCAAAGCTCCCGTTGAGCTGGCCCTCCTCATAGTCCATCTGACACAGAATCATGTTGTTCTTTAGGAAAAACTTGTCGCCCACGCAAAACCTGCAAGCCAGCACAAAAAAACCAGCACAGCAGTTAACCAAACGCGGCAAGAAAACAGCATTACGACTTTAGGATTGCTTCTGACATTTTTATGCAGAGAGTTCTCGCGAAGCCACTCTTGCAGGGCTCACTGAGCAATGTGGCTTTTTCTACAGGCACTAGCAGTTCCTATTCACTCCTGACTCACTGCGCTGGACACATTCCGCCTTAGCTGTGAACTGTCTGGCTCTGCGGGGCTGCTTGCATCAGGAATGCTATTGTTTCAGCGGTCGATTCAAAGTCCTCCTGTGATGTGGGCATGAAGGTGCAGCTTCAAATGAAAGCAGAAAAACAAAAAAAAACCCCAGCATTTTCAAAACAAAAAGTGCCAACGACAGGACTGGCACCCAATGAAAGTAATGCCACCATTTCCTCTCTTTGACTGGCAAAAGCACCATGCCGGTTTCCAAGGAAACCATGCCACTGGGTGCGTTTATTTTTTATTTTTTCCACAGCGTGGCTCCGTGCCAACGTATAAAATGTCCCTCTAAACTTTTTTTTTTCGTCTCCAAATTTTATGGCAATTAAAAAGCTAAAACCCTCCATGCGTGGACTGCATTTTTCCCATTGACGTGTTTGCATATGAAAGCGTGTGAAGGCTGAACAGACAGTGGCAGGGGTTCGTGATAAGAGCCAGGCCTGTGGCATCGGCGCTTATCAATCAGTGACACACTAATGTGCTGGGCTGGCAGAGGCACCAGGAGTGTGGCACAGCGTGGCAGGAGGGAGCTGCGCTCGCCGTGCCAGCCTGACGCCCTGGAGCTGGGGCGCTGCCGTCAGCAAATGCTCACTCACACCAGGTGCTTTACCCAAAGGGTGGCTCTGTGTTTATCTCGCGGGTGGCTCCCAAGTCGGGCTCCATCGATGCTTCTGTAACTCATGCTTATAATGCTTTGAGTGCTGCGTTAAATCCTATCATGTGCTATGGACTGGCATAGGTCTGAGACCTGACAGTCAAGTGAAAGTAGGTACCTGTGGGCTGCGAATTGACCTGTCCATGTTCTGCCCACAAATGCATTCTTTTGTTACAACGGCGAGTTTGGAGGTGTTTGGGAAAGATTTACTTCAACCTAATTAAATACTATAGTGCACTTACAGTCAAAATACAGTAATTGTGTTATCAATTAAATGCCCGTCTTCATGCGACGAAGTTTTTATTGCTTAAAAGTGCTCTTTTATGGCTCTGAAGAAGGTGATTCTCCCAAAATTCCTTAGGAGAAATAACATCAGGAGAAATTTTGGAGCAGAAGGAGACTCAAGAGACAACGTATAGACATATAAAGATCTCTATTTTTATTTTTCTTTCCTATGGGTATGAAGGGTCACATTGTTGGGATTGACTGGATGGAGTTTCTTGGTGATAATACCAGGCTAACGATAGTTAGCGGCAAATTCCTTGTCATATCCAACCTGCTTGGATTTGATTAGCTACAGCAACGTAGTCCAGTAATGCTTTATAGCATATCTAAACACCGACCTACATTCATTACGTTGGATGTGATTTTTGCCGATGTTCTGTAAAGCTTGTCCTGAAAGTTCCTACAAAAGAGGCATCTGTGGGTACAGCAGGGATAGGATCAACTAAAATCAGTCAGCCTTCTCAAGATTTGAAAACATGCTAAAGCTCAGCCTTCTTCCCTGGCTTGTTATGTTTAGTATGCTGCGTCCGCTGTGTGCATGCGTCCAGGGCTTTAGGAATAACCCTATAAAGGCAGTGTTTAGTAGGAGGTCACAGTCTGCAGCATCTAAAGCACTGTCACACTCCTGTGCACCTCAGGAATGTTCGAAGGGATGATCCTCGAAAAACTTCATTCTGCCGAGGCTCATAGCTGTAAGATGCCTGGATGCGTTTTGCGTCAGGGGGCTTTCGGTCCGACCGCCTTCTATAAGGCGCCTGTGGTTTGATCAGGCTTGGTATTGGTATTGGTCTGGCAAGAGCATCACCTTGGATGCGCTAGCTAATTTTGCTCCTCTCAAGCAGATAATCCTACTTCTGGTCACAGACAGGACCAAAAACATACATCACACATGGTCAAAAAAGTCATTAATACAGAATGTCTGATTTAATACAAACTAGTGTGTAATGACAGAGCGATCAATTAGGCAGTGACTGAGAATGATGAAGATCTATAAGAGTAGTGTGAAAGCGGCAAGTGATTAGGATGTATTGTATGTGGGTATGCATGTGCCTGCATGTGTGTGTCTGTATGGGGGGGGGCTTCTGTTTGAGCTAATAGCTTTTTCTTCAGCGTCTACAGATTTGTAAGAAAGGCAATCTCGCAAACTTAGGAGTGATCTCTTTCACTGCTTACCTCTGGTTACAAAGCTGACAGGCAAAACAGTCCAAATGGTAAACATTATCTCTGGCCCTCATCACCATTTCAAAGGCAGGGATCAGTTTACTGCAGGCTGCACAGTTCCCCGTCGTACCAAAGAGCCTGTAAGAAAAAGAGAGAGAGAGAACACAGAGTGGATTTACACACTTCTGCCTTCCTTTAGCATTGATGTAACAGAGCAGTCACTCCAAGACGGACGAGGAAAGGACCAAACAAAGTGCGAAAGGGGTAAAAAAAAAATACACACAAAAAAACAACATCACCACAACAAAATAAACCCAAAAATCTCCAAACATCTCATGCAACCCCCAAATCTGACTTGGCACACGCTTGATATTTTTTTGTTAATGAGGGTACAAACCTAGATGTTAATTCCTGGCTAATGATCTAATTAAAACGATCACATGGTTTTAATCCCCTTCTTCAAAGACTTTTTTGCGCCTAGCACATTGCAAAAGCAATGAAAACAGGTCTGAGGCAAGCAATTGAACTGTTTAAAGCCCCCCCCCCCTCCAACCCTGTCCTTAAATCCAGAACAACGAGGGAGAACTTGCTCCAACCAAAGCCAGCCGGATTTTACACAAGAGGCCAAATTCTATAATATAGGCAAAGTTCAAACGATTCCTGCTGCAGGAACACTGCCTCCACGCTGCCTCCATCCGTGTTTTTCTCCCCCACATCTCCATTCACTTGCTCCAAAATGGGGAAGCGGGCTTGTGGGGGGTGGAGAACGTAACCTTGGAGCGGTAACTAGATGTTCGATGGTGCACAGAAAGAGACAACTCAAATTTCTCCGCTGTTTGTTTAAGCTTATTAGATGGGAGGCAGAAACGATCAAGGTCACAAACAGAACAGAAAAGGCAGATCTCTCTCTCTCTTCCAACGTGCCTCCACTCTGCCAGATTTACATTTTCATTTTCCAAGCCCCTGTCCCCGTGTTTAATTTGGAGATCCAGAAGCACAGATAGACTTACATATTCCGCCAACCCTGCGATGCAATGCAAAAAAGAAGGAAGCGGGGTAGTGGGGGGTGTAGGAAACGGGAGGACGAGAGTTTGCTGCTCTGACGGTATGTTAAACACCCCTCCGAAGTTGCGGGCTCGGATGCGGAGAAGGGGAAAAGCCGAACGAAAGTTGCTCCGGCACTCCCATATTAGTTTCTCTCTGCTGCCTGCCTCCCCCCCCCTCCCCTTGTCACAGACAGCATCTATCCAGCAGACCCTGCTTTTAATTAGAGCGGCAAGCCCCAGCGGAGCGCGGCCTTTACAGTAGGAGAGGGAGAGTCAGTGAGTGAGCGAGAGAGCATGCTGTTAGAAGAGATAGGCGAGGTGTTAAAAAGAGGCTTTGTTAGACTGGGTTACCGTTCCAGTAAAGTGTGTTTGTGTAGGCCTCTGACACTCCGAGGTGGCCATGCAGTTCCAATGAGGTACCATGTCACAAAGCGTCGTTTATAAGCACGATCTTTGCAAAGCTGCGAAATTTATTGCTGCTTTGTAGGTGCGCCGCTGTGCTTGTTGATTTCTTGCCCAAACATTCACATTTCTGGTTCGGTTTAGTTCAGTCTACTTTTGTAAGGGACACAAACACGGATTCAGCCCAGAATCTAAAATGTTTTATCCATGTTCCGTACTTGTCTCTTTCAGTTAGGTGTTATAGCCTTGCTTTGGCACAGCCAGTATCCAAATCTTATTTCGGAGCCTTGAAAGCACAAAGCACTGTTTGTGTTTTCCTCCACACAAAAGTTGTACCACAGAAGTTCTCTTTTCACACTGAAAAGGTGTGACACTGACGTACAACACAGCAAGGCTGCTATGAGAAATATAAAGCTGCTGCCCAGTGATGCTCGGTGGAGGATGGGGTTCGCCTTTTGAGTGAAGGTGACACTGGCGGCATTTTTTCTTTTTTGACACTGACTTTTTTGGTTTATTCCTTTTCTTTAAAAACTACTAAGCTTTAAAATAAGCTATTTTAAACTGTAGCACTGTATGATGATGTAAAACCATACATCAATTTATTTAATTTCTAGTATAGTAATTAAGCAGCTACTCGCAGTTCTTATGTTAACATGTGGCCACTGTTATCACCTGACTTACTTCAGTTTTCATTGTGTTGCTCTACAAGCAATTATGTAGTATTTCAGGCCAGATATGTTACAGAAGAATTGGTTCGTTTTTGCCTCTGATATCTGAGTTGGAATAAATACAACTGAATAGGTGCCATCAATAGTTCTGAGACTTCCTCTCAACTGCTCCACCTGTTTTTCCTCGTTTTTCATTCTAATATTTTATACTAACACTGTTTGGTATCCGGTGTGGTCCAGAGGAGGATGGGTTCCCCTTTTGAGTCTTGGTTCCTCTCAGTGTTTCTTCCTCTTGCTCTTAGGGAGTTTTTCCTTGCCACTGTCTCCACTGGCGACGCTCATGGGGGCTCGGACCCGGATTTTTCTGTAAAGCTGCTTTGTGACAACACCTTTTGTAAAAAGTGCTATATAAATAAACTTTGACGTGACTTGACTTCTTCCTTATCCTTTTAGGAAATTTTCCTGATGCTGTCACTGCTGACTTGCTTGTTAAAGTTCTGGACCTGGATTTCTGTAAATCTGCTTTGGGACAGTTTTGTAAAAGCAAAGCTATTGCATTTGCTTTAATACTAGACAGAATAGCACTGTGCACTGCTGTGCTACTGTAGTCAAGGTGTTGTGCTCACTGTCTCTGCTTCCACAGGGACATTAAGGCAGGACTGTGCGTAATTCTAAAGAAGCATCCACAGAGACAGTAGCAGACCAGATTAAGGTACCTGTGTGGAAAACTATGTTTGAGAAAGGACGAGCTCATGCGACGGGGGACCTACTGCCAGAGCAAGCAGCTAAACATATGACTAACATGTCATCTTTCTGACTGGCGTAACCATCTCAATAAAAGTCATGCTTTTTAGTTACAAATAGGGGCAAAGTAGGTAGAAAAGTTTTGTTTTTGTGTGAAATTCAGTGTTCAGATCTAGATGTAAATAAGCAAGATGCTCTAAAACGACAACTGCAGTCAGAAAAAAAATACAGCATTTGTAATTGTGGTTTTATGGCTCAGTGATGGCCAAGCTCACGACTGTAGCGGTTAATTTAAGTGGATTAGTGGGTTACAGACACTCATTTGGAAGGTCACCTGCAAACTGTGAAATACAATGGCTTGAAATCCGAGGCAGTATAACTTAAGATAAAGTGAAACCGACCATTTTATCAGTGAGGCCATTTTAAGTCATTGCGCTGAAGGACTTTTTATGGGGTCAAACATTTTTTTAAGCTCACTATATTTCTCCACACTTGCTGTGAGCTGACTAAACAATGTCTCATCACCGTGGCCTTATTTAGCGCTTGTTTATTCAGAGACGAAACCGAATGTCTGTTTAAAAAGATAATGATTAATGTTGAATTTATAGACTCTTACATAGCCAACAAGTGGTCAGCTCTTCAATGGTCTTAAAGCATAGCCAATGAAAATAAAGGCTCAGATCTGATTTGCATGCAGAATCCACTCAAAGAAGAAGAATCCTCTCACAGTGAGGGGTGGGAGGAAAATAGATTCGGACTAATCTTGTTTGTGTTCAGCTAAACCCCCTGCTATTAAAGCTGAAGGCCTTCGCTCATTGTCCCGCTAATCAGTGTTGGTGTGATTTTCAGAGGCTCTTTGGAGACAGGTGTTGCTCGTGAGCTGTTTGAACAGAGATTTTTGAGGAGCTTCAAACTCCTCTGAAGCTGGTATCAGCCTCCTGGGCCTTTAATGTTTCGTTGCGATTGCGTTCCAGGTTTTCATGTTTTCTGCTCATGCTTCTACATTGACTACTGTAGGTGTAGAACTGGTCAGGTTCTGTAAACGTAAACAGCAGAGGAAAAGAGGAATTGTGTGTTCAGACACAGTGAGTTTATCCTCAAAGCGAGTTAATACCAAACACAAATACGTCAAAGCAATATGCTGGAAGTGATGGCAGAACAGCAAATGAAATAATTTATCACTAATAATCACAACAAACAATTATTCCACTGAGCAATGTAGTCAATCTATGCTTGCCAAGATAGATAATAGATAATGGTCAATGATTATTCCACAAACAGCCCAATGGCTTTTAATAACTCTGCATAATAATACAGAATTTAACTGATGTATGCGGTCATATGGATGTATACCGAGCATTTTACAACTTTGAATCTGAAGGCCAATTAGATTTTAGTACTATTCACTTTACATGGGGGAAAAATGAAAACGGCCCTCTTGCATGCTTCTCAAACAAAATGATTTGATTTTACTGCTCACGGGACTTTGATCAGAAGTACTTGATAAGCTCAGTCCTTCACATTCTCTCAAATATTTCCCAGAGAGGTCTCTGCCCTTTAATGATACCTCATTAGGATGAGGGCCAGTATTCGATTGTCCTGAAAAAATACTTTTAAACTTCAATTAAAAAACACCCCTCTTTGATTAGCAGATGACTGATATGTTCCTCTTTATAGTTGTGATGGTTAAAGAGCTGAAAGGGTCTCAGGCAGCAAAACCCAGGGGAGCTTTATCACACTGCTTTGGTGAAGTCACCAGATACTCCACCGCAGCTATAGAATGAATCAGCTCATTATTCTATTGTGCTGCATGCTAATGAATGACTGCTGCCAATTCGTTTAACAGAACCAGCATTTCCGGCCTGAGTGAAGTGAATGTCAAGCGTAGTGGCAAAGTTGCGAGTTGGGCTGTAGACGCAGGCAGGCGTCAGAGTGGTTCGCATGGTGGTGGGGAGTGTGTGAGTGTGTGTGTGTGAGATGGGAAGGGAGAGCGTTCATTATGGCTCTACAGTGCTCCTGAAGGACAAATGCAGACAGAGCTGTGCTCATAATTAATGTGCGCATGGCAGGGCTCCAAAAAAACCCAGCCGAAAATAAAGCAAGTGTGTTTGATCCACCCGCCTGTCTTTAATGAACTGCCTCTCTGTATGGGAGGCTAATTCTGGGTAAGGATTCAACTTCATTACAGAAGGTGAGCAGACAGATTCTGTGTGTGTATGTGTGTGTTGAGGGGGCCGCCTGCGTGGAGTCTCCCTCACCTACTTTTTAAAACCTTGAGTTCCAAAGCTGCCTCTTTTCCAGCGCCGAGTGGCAAAGTTTTTAATTTGTTCCATAATGGAATTCATCTCCAGCATGGCCAGCCATTAAGTGGCACACATTTGTCTCAGGCTGAGCAGATGAGTGGGCTAGATTTCATTAGACCATCAGGACTCACGCACAGGGCCCATCTCATTCTCTCTCTGCTTCCCACTTCTCTGTCTTCACCGTTCTTTCCTTTTTTTTCTGCTTTCCCTTCTTTTCATCCTGGTTTCTTCCCTTATCTTTCTTTCAATTCACTTTCTAGACAGTTAAACTGCAGCGCATTTAAACCTTTGTGCTATTTATCTGTGTGTCAATGCATTTACTCAAGCACTGATGCACACCAACCATGATTTTTCAGATGCACGCTTCTGAATCATCAAAACCAATGTTTGTTGTCTGTGTTGTTGACAGAGCAACAAACAAGATGGCTGATCAACTGTGTCCTAGTGCCCCTACCTTTTGACAAAAGCATTGGTTTGTCCTGATGTGTGGGGCTAACATCGCTAAAAGCAACTGGATTTTGGGGATTATCTGAGGATATGCAACGGAATAAACTGCAAATTATCACGTTTCATCTCCTGAATGAGGGAATAAAACTCTCTCTTTCAAGTATTTGACACAGACAAAATCTGTTTCACGCTATAATTTAAATCTCTGACTGTTCCTGTATATATTAGATACATTTTTAACAACCAAAGTAAATCTGAAATATTTTTATTGTGCAAAACAGTGGACAACTGCGCGAGCAGGCCTGGCAAAAATGGTGCTAAATGTTGTTTCACTGAAGTTGTCTTTTTGTTTAACTTCTCCATCCCACCTTAAATAAAGCAGCAGTAATGTTCTTGCATCTGAATTCAGCTGCCGCTCCATTTAAGGTGGATCGGGAAATTCGTACAAGAAGCCAGCTTCGTTGAATTTCTTGAGTCACTTGTCTCATCCCAAACACTCGCCAGACATGGCCTGAATTTGGAAAATATTACAGTTATTCATCCTGTGAGTATGGATTGTCCATGGATTGTTTATCACATAAAGCCCTGACCGTTGCATTGGCAGCTGGACGATTCAGGCAGCGTCACAGGCAGTAAGAGAGGAAACAGAATCACTCTGGTGTTCATGTTAGCCTAATGCTAACCCCAAAAGGCCAATCATTCCTTTATGCCTCGGAAACAAAGTGGACTACTTCAGCAACGGACTGGACAGCAGGAGGTGGTGGAGGACCTGCTGCGTTTATCATTTCATTTAAAATGCGACTGAAACAACTCTGACTCAGGCACACAGGTAAATGACTAACATTAGCATGATTCATATCTACGTTATCTATCTTCACTTATATGTGGATTTACTACAAAACCAGAAGAAAAATCTCAGCTGGCTACTACTAGACAGACAGATACAAACTCTACACTGGTCACTCGGGCTATGAATCCTTTGGCCATAATAAAAGAAAATGTTTATCTTATATACATTGTATTTAGAGTAAACGAGCCTGTTTCAGCACCAAAAAACAGTATTTTCCATTTATACCAGTTAAACCACTGAAGGACCTCCTGCTTTTTCACAATATAGTTAGGCAGGCTGAAGATTATCACTCAGTCCTGCTGACCAGCCTTCATACTCATCAGGCTTTGATCAACCGACTAAGCAGCTTTGTTCTTGGAGATCATTGTGCTGTAACAGTGCTCATGTTGAAAGCTGCAGCCACCCCTTGAATATTGTGTTTACCAAACAAGTTACTTCCAGTAAAGAATGAACTTCTACCATCTGTCTGTAGTGAAAACTGACGACATGCACAACAGAACAGCACATCCTTCTCAAAATCACTCCAGCCTCACAAATTCTTTCTTCCAATGTTTATTTCTGAACTTTTTTAAGTGTTTTTTTTAGTGGTCGGTTTTGTGGCGGATATTTGTGAACGTGTAAAAATTTAATTGATCTGGTATTTGTTTAAAGGGGGAAACACACTCACTGCCCCAAGAGGTGGCCGCTTGGGCCAGTGGCTCTGCATTTTTAGCGGCCAAAATGTGAAATGTCAGTGGGCAGAAGGCAACGTTGACCCCAGCTCTTTGTGCTCCTTGGGGATGGGATGTAACCCACGTTGGCGTGGGCACTTTTTGTGAAGAGCAAATAAAGTCTTTATTACTTGAAGACATTCTGTCCATTTTTTAAAAATTGTATTCATTCACATTGGGTTCAGTGTGTCACGGCTTTTGGAGCAATCATGTCACCCATGTTATTCTCGCTATAATGTGTCCAGGCTAACCACTTCCTCTCTACATCTCCCCATTAATCTCCTAAAGTGCAGGGTGGACTCAGTGTTTAATTGTGTCATACAAGGCACTGTATCTTTAATCATTCTGCTTTGCGCTAATCATTACCTCATCTGCCCCAGCTGGCCCTTCTGGGGGTCCGGGTCAGGTCTCCTTTCACTGCATCTTAACAGCATTAAAAGGGGAGTGGGGAGTGATGGATAGTGATAGCGGAGAGGGGGCCTCCAGCAACCTCACCCGAGCTAAGGCCCCAGCATGCAGGATAGGGCCCCAGCAGTGGGCTCCCCCGGGAGCAGCAGCTTGGGGGATAAATGGCTGGATCTGGTTGGGAGACCCCTGGGGACTAGGACTTAACGCCCAGGAAATAATCATGTTTAATTTAGCAAGCAGATGGCTCGGAAGCAGGAGGCAAAGCAGAGTCTAAGACCCAGAGGTTTGACACCATGCTGCCTGGGGTGAGCTTACAGTGTGCACGCACACACACACACACACGTGTGTTTTATACTTATATGTCAAGATGTGGGCTCTATGCACATGAAATATGTATTATATCATCATATGAAAACATAATTTGTGTTGTTTTTATTTTGTATACGTTTTTTAAAATGTGTGAACATTTCCTGACAAATTTACTTCAGTTGTTACATCTTGTTACTAAAAACAAGAATGTTTTTTCCTTCTCCTATAAAGTTATACACACTATTGTTATGACAGCTTATGTTTATGTGGTTTTATGTACCAAAAACAGTCCTAGTTCACTGTTACATAATCAATTTTCAACCTCTCTTTATCCAATAAACAGGATGTTTTTGTCACTCTGCCCTTAAGACATATGTAAACCTGTGGTTTACCTGACTGCCCTGTATTGTGCCTCTTTCAAAAAGCAGTCTGAAAACACTTCAGCATGAATAGACAGGACTAAACTGCTAAGCTGAATAGGACGATATATGTGAATGTGTTGCTTTTTCATGATATCAGAAAAAAAACGGCTGTTTTTGTAGCTTATATCCCATGTAAGGTCTGCATGGACTGTGGAGTGAAACTTTAACAATGTTTACGTACAGCATCGAACTATTTTGTTCTATAAAACCGAGGAAAATTTAGTTTTTCATGATATGGCTCCATGAACACTTTATCTATATGTTTAAAAATGTTCTTAGCCTAAACTTTAACCTCAGTAACCAAAAATAAATGTTTTTGTCTTTTTAGTTCAAACAAAACAGAAACATACAGCTTTTGTAAAAATGTTAGGACCGCTTTGTTAACCGCGACAAGGTTTTACTCTAGTTTTCCTACATACTGAGGGATTTAAGACACTTTGTCTTTCTCACTGAGCCTCTCCTGACCTCAAGTAAGAGAGCACGGCATCACATTCATGTAAACATGCGCAACGTTAACTAGCTAAACCTAAACAATCTCTATGTGACACCACCCGCAGCCGTCTCTGCTCACTTTCACGAATCGCAGCTTAATTGGCGCGACTCCTACAGGAGTCAGTACACTGTGCTCGAAAAGGAGCAGAACGCTTGATCCTCCACCACAGCCTCAGAGACAGAGCAACTTCCTCAGTCCAAATGGAGCGGACTAGACGATAACACAAGAGGAGAGAGGAAAGGAGCAAGAGGACCTAGATAAAAAAAGAAAAAAAAATCTGGCGAGTGTTTAGCTTGTCAGATGAGCTATGTATTTTTCTGAATGTCACGCAGCCTGAGGTGTAACAAGCCCTTTCTGGTGTAGCACTACTTTTTTCCTTTTTCTCTCTCTTTTTTTCCCCCTCAGTGTCTCCGAAACACTCTCTTACCTCAGGTAGTCCCTGCGACAGAGGATGAGATTGGCTTTGGTGTAGAGGGTGGAGCCCACCTCCCCCAGGCGGCAGTCGCAGCACGCGCATTTCAGGCAGTCCTCGTGCCAGTATTTGTCCAGCGCCTTGAGCAAGTAGCGGTCTTTAATCTTGCGGTTGCAGCCGGCGCACCCCTTCTGTTTCCCTTTGGGCTGGACGGAGAGCATCGGCACACCTGTAGCGATAAGGAGACAAAACGGAGCAAACTGCATGATTTACTGCCCAGGTAACGCCGGTGACTTTTCATGTTCTGCACTTTTTTCTTTTTTTTTTTGATAAGGAGGCGCGGGTGCCTCCGGAGCTCCGGGCCTGATGCCGAGGCCGCGACCGCTCCTGTTTCATATGCATTAGGGCCCTTGCGCGCACGCTCAGATACGCACACGGGTCACTTTGGACTACATTCACCCTTCGCTGTCCCCTCTTGCGGAGAACAGATGTTAACTCCGGCACAACACATACACGCACACACACACCGTTCAAATGCAGCCCCCGTGTTGGGACACTTTAGAACAATCTCCATTTCAATGGCTCACTGAGGCATTTGTGTGGCGTGTTAGGTTAGTCACCGGGCTATTTTAATAGCTTCTGCAGCGAGCGAGCTGCCGGCCATGCTAAAAGCTCCTCGTGGGCTGTGTTTGGTATGGATTAACATTAACCTTTTAAAGCGCTGTTGACCACAAGACGGTTGCATTCAGCCCCAAGTGAGATACGTCACGGCCTAAGTGCTTGACTGCGCACACATACACACATCCACACACACACACACTCACTTTACTCCTTCTACAGCTATCTGTGCTTGCCTCTATGTTGCGTCCAGCAGAGTAAACCAAACCTGCTAAATTGCCTTGTTGTCACGTGCCTGCCCCCCTACTCCGGCCCTGAAGAGCGCCTTTTAGCCATCTAAAGAACAAATAAAGTCCATTTAATAACTGCACTAAACGCTAATAGTCTATCTGCCGCATGACATTTGAGTGGCGACTAAAAGCCGCCCTCGGGCCAACGGCGGCACCCGGCACCCCTCTGCCAGCGCTAACAGGTCCGGTCCGGCTGAAAGCGTAGACAACAGCTCTTAAGACACTCTCTCCCACACTGAGCTATTGATCCGGCTAATAGAATGCGTGGCAAAGCTGGCCACTCTCTCTCGCTGCTTTCAAAACACATTCCTCTCAAAAAGCCCCACGCGCTTCTCCCCCCCTTCCCTCCCCACTCGACTGAAAAAGCAGCACCCCGCCCCGGCCCAAAGCCCTGTCACCGGCCCTCCGACCATCAGGCCATTAACAGGCCCAGGCCCATCTGGGGACACTATGCTTTTGATTTAAACATTAGCTATTAGACAATTAAATCGCATCGTAGAGATGAGGAGGGGGAGAAAATAAAACATGTTGATCAGTGCTTTCAGCCACATGCTAATTTATATGAAATGTATGTGGACAAAGAAATACGTTATGTTTAACTGACTTTACACAGGGTCTTTTTTCCCACTGTTGACGATCTAATGCGGGGTTTTGTAATATTTGAATAATGCATTATCAGTTCGTTGATGTATCTGAGGCAGTGACAGCTGAGTGCCTGTACGGATGGCTGGGTTCACAGGCAGTGGCTGCTATGCCATTCTCTGCCTTTAATGTACTATAATGGCACTACTGTACATGATCAACAAATGTGTGCCAGTGGGCATGCACTCCATTACCCAATAGTTTCCCCAGCAGTTCTTCTGTGGGCATCTCTCTCTCCCTCTCTCTCTCCCTCTCTCTCTTTTCACCTCTTTACCAGCAGCGTAAAATACCTCAAAGCACCTTCACACGCTGTACTTTGTTCTTCTGAATATCAAAGCAGATTTTACTCACAAACACACTCAACTCCTTCTCGTTCAATCTCTCGTTCTCTCTTTCCTACCCTCACTTTCAACACGCGCACTTGCCGAGCTTTTATTGGATCCAGATTTGTTCGGTAACTCTGAACTATCCACACATCAGCGGTGCTATGAATGTAATATAATTAGCATGGTCCCCTGTAAAAACGAAGGGGGAGAAGAGAGAGAGAGAGAGAGAGAGAGAGAGAGAGAGAGAGGGGGAGAGAGAGAATAGAAAGGGCTTGTTAGTTAAATTTATGGCTTGAATGTGAATACGAGGTGGTATTCAGCCATCCTGTTCCTTTATCAGAAGAGGGGAAAGGAGAAGCTAATTGGTCCAGCGCTGCTGATGGGAGCCATCAATTAGTTCTGTGCCTTCCCCTCCAGCTCCCACACCTCACTCCCCACCACCATCCCCCCACCTCCACCAAAACGGGCCCCTTGAAGCCGTTGCATTAGGATCACAAAACTCACTATAAATACCAATGTTCGGTGTAAATGAAGCTAAAAAGCCTTCAAATTGAAGCCACGCTAGCTGAGGGCGGTCTCTTTCTACCTGCATTTCATGGCTTGTTAGATGAGCGCTCTGCAGGTACGCCAACAGTGCTCTCCTGTCAGCCTTCTACAGAACTAAAAACAGTCTTAATGAGGGGAGAGAGAGCCAGCCTGTGAGAAAGAAGAAAAAAAAGTGTGTGTGCGTGTGTGTGTATGTGTGTGTGTGCGTGTGTGTGTGTGTGTGTGTGTGTGTGTAAGCGAGTGAGCTAGGGAATCAGGCTCCTTTCAATTCCCCCAAGGATGGCACAAAAATCTTTAATTTGCCTTTTATGACAGCTAATTAGTTATTCTATTCAAAATCTTTGCTTTAAATAAGAGAACTAATTATACACAAAGGTCGTTCTCACCTCAGGAGAACCATGCGTAATTGGTTTATGCCCCCCCCCAACCCTCCTGCACATACTATCCACTCACCCTTTAACAATGCGTTTGTGTTCTACACAAAGTTAGCTATACAGAGCTTAACCCTTTCTGGATAGACGCAACATTCCTGGGAAAAGTAACCTTGGAGTGCTCCTGCTCTTTAATTACCTGGACAAATTCAGGTTTGTGGGGAACAAGACGAATGCTAAGCCTCGTTGATGTGTCTCTTGCTAACCTAGATTCAAGTCTTGCACTCTCTCTGTCTCTCTCTCTGTCTCTCTCTCTCTCTTCTGTCGTTCAGCTGCTCGCGCGTGGAGCTTTCAGAACCTGCAAAGTCAACGTTGGGTGAGCCGGATTCCCATGCAGCTAATCATCTCGCTGCTGCGGCTCTTTGAAACCCGACATTTGTCTTCCAAAACAACTTGTGGAAATACGGCTTTGGAAACAACAAAAAAAAAAAAAAAAAAACAGCCATATATTTTCAGCACATTCTAAAACTACAAACGGTGACAGAAGAAATCATTATATAAAAGGCAACATAGTGTTGTTTCTCTGATACCGAGAGACAGTCTTTTGTTTCTGGAGCTCCTCGCAGAAGAGTGCACCTGTCACACCACACTTTGTAGCACGTGAAAACGCTAGTCGTCCAACAGCACCTCCCCTACCCAGCCGTCTCCGCCTCGCGAAGAACAAAAAAGCAACATTATTAAAGGAGACGCTAGCCGAAGAGGCAGCTCCCACTTAATCCAATCCATTTAACAGATACAAGTGCTGCTGACCTTCCTGTGTCATTCCGTGTCGCGAAAACGCATATCCTGCTATCCGGCCCATGATTCATATTCTACCAGGAGATGCATTTTTTTTTTTTCTTTTAAGAGAGAGCTTTCGCCTTGCCAAACATCTCTCGCACACAAAAAAAGAGAAAGAAGAAGAAGAGAAAAAAACATTTGCCATTAATACTTGGTGCACAGTCTGCCATCCTCATCCTTTCCACCCTCTTCCTCTTTAAAGACCTTATCTCTTGCGAATATGTACAGTTAGGTTTTTTTTGCATTTGAAACTGTCAGACCATGTACTTTCCATTATAGAGATAGGATCCGATTTCTATGTAGGCCCCCATTTCAAGTTCCATTTTTGCAGCTATCAAAAAATCAAATCAACGTGGTACCCTTTTGATGTATTTAAGGTTTAGAGAGGAGGCGAAAAAAAGAGAGAGAACAGTTTCCGCGCACTCGAGCAATCGTTTTAAAGCATTACAGCGCAATTATCACATCTTCACGGCAGACCAATGTATCTTTGGGGAGGAAAAAAAAGCATAGCAAGAGAAGATGATTTGCTTTCCAGTCCCCCTCCTTAGCGCCCTTCTTTTTTTTTCCTTCCCTCACACTCTGCGTGATGTTGTGGGCTAATCTTTCAAATGAGTGCACAGCACAAATGAATGAAGCTGCAGTCCTTGCTCCTTTTGGGGTCACCGGCTATAATTAAATAGATTCGATCAATTAGGTGGATTGACGCCTCAATGTGATGAGGCCTTGGTAAGTTCATGGTACAGAAACAGGGCTGATAAGGGACACTGTGGCTGAGCAGACCTTTCTGCTGGCCATCATATACTTAACGCTCTGAAGATTTTCAATTAAGAGGTCAATAACAAGATGACACATTTAAAGTTTGAACTGAACTAGTTACTACTAACAAATTTGTCCACCTTAGTTGCTGCAAACTTTACACCAACCGATCCAGTTATGTTTGATTCTGTTAACTGCCAGTCTTCATATAGAGTCCACAGCATCTTTAAAAAAGCCATAGAATGGAAAAAAAAAACGTGCAAATGACCTGACATCCTCTAAGAACAACCAATTTGGAGGGCCCCAGTGTCTGGAGGCGAGCAGTACAGATGTATGAGGGATTACAAGCAGTCATCTGGCGCAAAGCTTCTGGCAAGGTTCTTCATGTATGACAAGCCACGGTTATAATATCAGGAATGTATGCACGGAGCGGAAGCGCTTCCACAAATACAAGTACGAGCAGCAGAGAATGAGGGAGAGATCTGAGACTTTGTTATACCAAACAGTATAATATATATCATAAATATACTTTAAATGAGTTGAATCGCCAACATTAAAGCCTGATTGTACCTGAAACACTTGTGGTACGAGGAAATGTGTTTTGTTTGTAAACAAGACATGTAGGAGACATGGCAAATAAATCTAGCAGTAAATTAATATCAACATTTTACATTAAAGCTCCCTCTAGCTAACGTGAACCTCCTCTGTGGCTAAGGACCAACAGTGTACTCCCATCGTAAACGGCGTGTCCATGGCAATCCAGGCTCAAATTTGTCAGCAGGCCGGCCGGCCGGCCGCTGTAGAGGTTAATGGGAAGCTCAGGCAGATGTCCTGCCATTG